GTGAAATCAATGTCTTGGATTTCAGGGCTGAGCTTGGAGGTCACAGCCACTCTATCATTTCTCAGCATTATCCCCTCTCTTTCTCTCACTCTCTCTCTGAGCCTCCAACTGGCACACAGCAGATTGAAAACAGCATGCATCACAGGGCTCACGCTGCACAATTTTACAGCCTTTTGGAGCCCTCTTCCTTTCCTTTTGGCCCTCTTTTTTTGTGTTTTGTGGGTTTTTTTCCCCTGAAATTTGCAAATATGTTTTGTTTGTGTCCTACAAGCCAAAGGCACTGAAACACCTACAAATAGGAAAAAGCACCAAAACACTAGGGAGAACAGAGCCGTTCTTGACAGCTGCCTGTAAGATGGTTATACTTGATGTTACCGGTAGGTACAGCAGGACTTCTAATTCCACAATTGCCACAAAATAAATACTGAGTCCCCTTAGATCTCATCCAACATTCTGTGTGTGCAGAAGAGATCAAAAAAACACCAGGATTTTCATCGTAGTGGTTTTCACAAGCCACTAGCCACACACAAAAAACTCCTTGTAAAATGCACCAAAAAATCTCTTGTTAGCCATGGACGTGTCTTTCTGGAAAAAAACCCCAAAACTATCATCAAGTACTGCATGGCTTTATGATTCCTTGCTCTACAGAATATAAAGAGAGAGACTAAGCCAAGAATAAACTTTGGGAAGTCACAGAAGTCTACATTGAGGAGAGAAGAAAAAAAATGCAGACCCAGAGCTCGATTCATTAATACAACAGCTACTGGTTCCATACAACCTATTTTATTCCTTGAACATGCATCTCACTGAGCTGACAATAGCATTATATCTTTGTCTGGTTATTTTTAATCTGTGCTGTTTTACTCTTAGGGTGAATAGAAGACAGTACTGTCAATTCAAGACATCTTTTCTGACATGAAAAAGGACATGGACATCATGCTAGAGGACACTAACAGAAAGAAAGGACACATTTTTATCAAGCTTTTGCTGTCACCTAAATGCGACTGCTTTTTCCCTGTATTCCTCTGCTAAATTCTTCCTAGTTGTTTTGCAACACCTAAGATGTGCCATTCGATTTAGACCCAGCTCAGCTGTGACATATGCTGAGCTTACCTTTTTCCACTGCACATACTCTGTACCTTTTTTCTAGGTATAAACTAGTCACACACTGCTGGCATTACGTTGATGTGACTATAAGCTGCTAGCTTAACCTCTTAAAGGAGTACAGACCTAGCTGCCCAGCTATGACCAAGATTATTCATCAGAGCCCATTGCTTGACAGACAGGTTCCAGCCCTGTCCTACCACACAGCAGACAATGCTTTGGAGACTTGTTCATTCTGCAAAATCCCACTGAAACCCAGGATAGGATCTGGCCACAAATGAGTTGCCCTGCTGCTTTTAATCTCAAGTTGACACACTGCTAACCTGACTTGGGCTTAGTGTTCTGAAAGGCAATGACAGTTGTGTGCTGGAACAGGAGCTGGTCATCCCTGCCTGCTACTTGCTACTTTCTACTGAAGATGGAAGAAACAGCAGTGTGATAGAAAGGGCACAACAAGGGGACCCATGGGATCTCAGCTGAGATGGTGTCTGTTACTGACATTGTGTATGAACAGTTCTTTGCTATTACTGTGCTGGGATCCTCCCACTGAAAAACAGCACTACGAATACTTTCCTATTTCAGGAAGTCATCATGAGAACAGCTTCCCACAACAGAAAGGCTCTCTTCAGAAAGATACTCTTCAGGAAAAAAGAGAAAACCCACATGCAATACACACACCATGAGAAACATCATGCTGCAGGGCCTGGTACAGTACCTTGCTTTTGGGTGGAGGGCTGTTTGTGCTCTTGTCTGTGTGGATGCTGGTAGGGGATACAGCAGCACCAAGGTTACCCTGGGGTATGCCAGGGATCTTGCCTCCTGGAGACACTTGCATCGCAGCAAGTTGGGCAGCATACAACTGCTGTAAAAACAAACCAAAATGGGGGGGAAGAGAGAGAAAGGAGAGATATCATCAACAAATAAGTAATTTTCCCAAAACTTCTACTGTAGATGATATATTTTTCTTCTGATGTGTATTTTTTATTTAGCACACTGGTATATTTCAAGGCAGGAACTGTCATCTCAACTTTTGTGACTCACTCCTCAGGGGATGAATGACAGACGTCACCATAAGTAATGCCCTAGCTTCCCTGTGTGTCCAGGGATTCAAAACAAAGAACAAAAGCTCATCTTCATGGTTTGCCTGAGCCACTGGGCAATCTTTCCTTTTGTGAGATGATTTAAGGATAACAGCATCTCCACTGATAATATGCATCAACTCCTGGGAAATTCACATTATGTTTGATATGATGGCCTCTGTGCTACCATTTTACATTTCTGTATCTTACTTGCTATGTTTGCCTTGTTTGCACAGGTTGTAACTTGTCTGGGAGAGGAAATGCCAAAATTTTGCTTAAAACTTACTGTGAGAGTCCAGTCTCAGTTGGGTTCTGGGGAACCCCTACAGTCAATATAAATATAGTCACATCACTAGTAATGTACTGTCCATTAGCAACAAGAAGCTCCAATTAGGACTAAGAACCCTTTCTGTGATAGATGCAAAGCAGATACACAGTGGGAATACTTTTCTCTTCAAAACTAAACCAGTAAGGCACTTAAAACACATATTGGATTATTAGGATGTTAATACTTACAATCACAATCATCTGTTTAAAGCTAAACACTACAGTAAAGAGTTTGATGGACAGAGGTCAAACACAGAGTGAAAACAGGCAAGCTGGCAATGCCTAGAAGCTCCTGTGACAACCAAATAAAAAGTGAAGAAAATATACTTAATGGGCAGGAGAAGCAGCAATTATTGCTGCTTTGTGGACAGAGAGGAATTTAAATGAAGCCAAACAGAAGTCAGGTGCCTGACAGAGCAGGTAACAAAAGTTTTCCTACTTGGTCACAGTATCAGTTTCAAAGACTCATGCTATGTATTATTTGTGCTGTGAAGTACATGTGTAATGTGTAACACTGAATGATAGTGCTCTCTGCCTGCAGGTGTTAAAAGAGCTTCTGAGATACAACATGAGTTTCAGGAACATGGAAGTGGATATGGAAAAACAAGGGGGCTTCAATAGGAATAGTCTAAGAAGTCTTGTTACTGGTGTTTAGTTGCTTTGGGTATTTTTCTTTATTGTATATGCTGATAAAAGAAAAAAGGTCAGATTGGAGGCCACAAAGAAATGCTAACCCAAACCAGCAAGTCTGAAAGAGGAAAATGAGGATTCATTACAAGAGTATTGAACATGGAGCTGTGCAAATGGTAGAGAGGCAAAGCCCTGTAGCAAACACTTAACTTGACCAAATGGGCAAGATTTACTGCTCTGAGTCTTGGGCTGCCTGGGGCATTGTCCAGTGGTTCCCTGCACAAGCTCTTCCCTTCACTGGTGGACAGTCCTAGCCCTTTACAATAATTATGAGTAATCTATTTCATTCTGTTAGGTGTAATCAGAAACCCAGTTCTTCCTTATTTATTTTTTATTCTTTCTATTCTTTTCGGATTTTGTATTCTTCTCAATTTTGAATTCTTTTTATTTCTTTTCTCCACATTGATCACTGCTTGTTCCTTATTTTTCCGTACTTCTTAATCACCGTTTATCCATGCCTTTCTGTTTAGTTTCCCTCTCTTTCCCCGTCATCCATTAATTCACCCATTCTCTCCTTGCCTCTTCCTCAAATGTATTTATTCATTTATTCTATGTGTTACCCCCAGCGAGTGAGCCAAATAGATGCAAATCAACTACAGATAAAAGTCATCAAAAACAATCCAGCCACAATTCAGTCACAGATTCAAATGCATGTATTTATCAGTTGAAGTTCATATCCATTCTTTCTTTCAAAAGAAGACTAAATCCAGCAGGGAAAAAGCAACAAGGATCTGTGTGAACTAGAGAAGAACTGCAGCAGGCAGTTCAAGGAAAACCAAGCCAGCTTTATGTATGAATTCATGTATCAGAATGGCAACAGTTGTTTAAGAAATAGGATACATGACTAGGGAACAATTCAAACATAATTGAACTTTGGTGATGACAGAGTAGATCTAGGGAAAGCTTTTCCTTTTCTTTTGCTTTCTTATTGAAAAAAATGACAGAACAAATTGTGGCAACTGTGGGAAAAAGACAAAAGATAGACATTGAGCAGGAAAGGCTCAAGCTTACTGCTAATCTATAGAAACCAGAGAGTATGTCTAGCCCATAAGGAAAGGTAAAAATCACATTGTCAGTTTGGACACTTTGCAGTCCTAAACCAAACCATTGATAAGACACATGGGCACTGGTCTGTTGAGGACTGGTCCTCCTGGAAATTTCTGCGAGCCTTTGAGGAAGACTTTTCAAACAGAATCCCTTCCTTGAAAAGCGAGGAAAAGCTCTACCTCACACATAGCTCTCAACCTTCTGCTAACATCCAAAGAGAGAAACATGAGACCTGGGCTATATGAAGTCCATGCACAACATTGTGTCCAAGAATTTGTACCATCTTACATCTGTTCAGTGGTCACTAAGAAATGTGTTAGAAGTCATGGCTCCTCCTTACAGTATTGTCATCAACCACCTTTTTGTCAATGTATGCACAGCAGACAATGACTAAACAAGCACGGGGAACGAATTTGCCTAGTCAATAGCCCATGAGAAAGCCACATTTTTATGTGATAAATGGAATATACGGAATTTCAAATGCATGCCTTGTTCTCAGTTCAAGGGCAGATACAGCTCCAAGACTGAAACACACAGTATAGCATGGAGTGATCTGGAAGGAGGGGTGGAAGAAAAAAACCCAAACCAAACAACCAAAAAAACCTCTATAAAGCCTTCATTCATGCTTTGTAAAAACTCCTGTCCTCGTATTATCAGATTCAACATCTCACCTCAATTTAATTCATTTTGAGAATTAAAAACAAACATTAAATAAAATCTTATAAGAGGTCCCTTGTTAGAGTACCCTCTTAAGAAGTCCCTCCCTGCAACACAAACCAACTATTGAAAAGCAACATCAGGCCCAGCTCTGAAATGAAAAACATGTAGCTTATGAAACTGCAAGGGTCTGAATCCTATTTGACCAGAAAGACTGTCTGTACATTCCCCCTGCCCTGTTAAAAAAGATAATTGACAGAAATACACAGCACGCAGGACTTTTTTTAGACTCTTGGTACTTTTGAGCTTTGACATTATTGGACTTGTCTGTTTACAGTTAGTTGTTTTAGGACCTGATGACCTTTAGCTTAGACCCAAGGAAAGGGCAATTTTGGTGTAACCAAAAGCTGTGAATCAAGATGGCTAAATTAAAACAATTTATGCTTTTGTTTTGTAGACAAACTGCACACCAACAAAGGAACATGTCTATCCCTGCCTCCCCAACAGAGCTTCAGATTTTCGTGCAGTATATGAACCTTTCACTGCTGAAACATTCAACCATCATCTGAAATGCACCCTTATACTTTTCACGGTGACGAAACTCAGACCTCAAAAACTGCAATGAAAATGTTGTTATTTTGTATCACTGCTGCAAGACACTGTTTTTGAGCCTTCTAATTTGTACCCCAAATGGAGACTCCTGAAGCCACTTCTGCTATCTTCAGCTAACTTACAGTTTCAAATTCTGCCACTCCAGGAGTTAATTTTGTCACACAACAACTTACATAGGACTTTCAGTCTACAGGATCTTGACTGGTTTATTGTGACCAAGGTATTCAGTTGAAATGACTGAAGTACTACTGCTTTAGACAAGCTTATTTCTGCTACACATAATAAATAAAATAAGGGTAATATTCTGGATTTAGTAAGACAGATAACACTTCTTCAAGAAGACAGAACTAGGCTTCTGAAAAAGCAATTAAAAGTAACACCTAATGTTTGTTTATAACTAAAAAACTACATTTCAGCTCCCCCTGTCCATATGCAATATAGCACACCTTGTTAATGTTTTCGCATTAACCTCTTACGAAAGTCTGTACAGAAGCAAAATCATTAGAACAAAAGTACAATGTGATAAGCTTTAAAATGAGCAGAAGGTATAGCTATTTTTTTTAATGTTGCTCTTCAGCTATTAAACAAAAATTCCCCTTTCTCCCCAGGTCACCACCTAAACCATTTATAGTTCTTCCAATATATTAAACAGAAATATTCAGCTGAACTCTCCAAAAGGACTACCTCTAACAGCTCTTGGCTTGATGACTCTGTAGTACATCAATAGCTAAGCCTTAAGGTTAGACCAGCTTTGAAAACTTTCCCCTTGGGCATTGTTGTTACATGTTAACAATGTTCATTACTGCTTTGAGGGTACACTAAAAATGAATTCTTGTTCTATTAATATAGAAAATGAGAATGAGATTTAATAGCAATTTTAAAACGGGTTGAACGAAGTGTTAGCAATTACATAGGCAGAGACAGTTGATTCAAGCACCTATAGGCATTTGGATTACAGTATTATCTCTTATTAAAATATTTTCATTAATGAGCAGTAGAGATTAAGAGCTGTTATTAAAAAAACACAGAGAGATAGAGACAGGTGGTACTGGAAACCAAATCCATTTCTGCAATAGATTTGTTTCTGATATGAACTAGTTTTTCAGTGGAGTTACCAAAGCAATGAATTTACAAACCACTGTGCTTAAATGTTTGAACTGCTGACTGATCCAACACTTCAATTTCTTTGTCATCCTGAGACCCATCATTAAAAATATACACATGGATGGCCCTGCTCTTTTATTTTTGCATAATCTGGGGAAAAAACTGTATAAACCAAAATTCTCTCATTCAGAATACATTAATTTAATTTTCTTTACCTCATATTTTGTATTTATAGAAGGCATGCAAAGTGATTATGGCAGAAAGAATTAATTTTTGATCTCTTCAGGTTAAGTTTTTTATTTTTAAAAAAAAGGGCGCTGAATTAGAAAGAAAAAATAATTCACTC